TATTATTTTATTTAAAAAATACTAAATACAATTAAATTTTCCAGGCAAATTTGCCTGGAATACAGTTTAAGAGATAAATCAATAAAATTATTAAATAAAATTATATAACTGCTATTCTTAGAAATGGATTAAAAAATTTAACAAAAAAATGAGAAAGTCAAATCGTCATATTTTGCTCGTTCTAGATAGTGCTTCTTCTCACATTACTGGTGTGGTCAATCTAACTAATATAGAGATACTTAAACTACCTTCGCATATGTCATCAAAGATACAACCTATAAACGCTAGCATAATTGCATCATTCAAGCTTCATTATCATCATATGCAACTTCAATGTGCAATCGATTATGATGAAGCTGGAAAAGATGATATATATGAAGTTGACTAATTGCAAGCTATGAGATAGATAAAGGTTGCATAGGATGAAGTAACTGCCAGAACAATCAAGAATTGCTAGTTCTATACGAAAATTATATCTCCTCATAATGAAGATGGAATATTAGTTGTCATGTCCCCTTCTGTCATCTTGCCTTCTCCTGCTACCTCATTCTTTCTTGTTGTCTTACCCTCTGCTATTGTCTTGCCCTCTTCTGTTACTTTGTCTTTTTCTAATGAAGATATAGAAGAAATATTTGTTGATCCAGATTATGATACGTTGTGGATTCGTAATTCATTTTTAGTTAAAGATTTGTTAGATTTTGAAGAAAAAATATAGAAATACATCAACAATTTAATGATGAAGACTTAATTCAGGCTGCTACAGAAATTGAACATATAGAAAATAAAATTGAGATACAACCTTTAACCAGAAAGGAACAGTTGGAAATTTTGCGTAGTGCTCTGAGAATTATTGATGAGAGAATTGATGATGGTGGGGTAATAATGAGGTCTTTGCACAAGCTTCAATTGTGCATTCGTGAGGAGATCCGGAAGGAAGAGGCTGAAAAACAGGTCCATACTAGATTGAATCAATTCTTTCAAAGGCCTGAATAATAAATACGTAGCATTATATATTAATTCTAATTTAGGAATAAATTAATGCCAAAATTACAAACAACTTATTAGATAAGATTTCTTTTTTTCATAAGTATATAATGTAAAAAAAAAACAAAAAAAAAAGCAAAAAAAGAAAAAAAAAAAAAAAAGTTTTCAACAATTGTTGCCTAAGAGTTGTCACAGAATTGATTAGCTGGTGGTTTTATATTTACCAAAGCAGGCCGGCTGTGAATAAAGTGAAGAAATGATTAAATAGCTGTTATTGTCTTCGAGCAGTCAGATAGTGATGAGAAAATTTCTTTATTGTATTTTTCAGAAAGGTTATCCTTTAAATTATACTTTGGATAACTTCATTGTAATGCTATAATGAACAAAAATATCATAAATAAATGGTGTTTATACAGTATCTTGCTTTGTACTAAACTTTAAGCATAGCAGTTATTTGTATCTCTGAGCAATAAATTAGCTAATTAAGTTCAAAATTCTTTTTAATGTAAAATAGCGTGTTATATACGAAACTGTACTTACTTGCTACATATAATGATACAAGTTATTTAGAAATGGTTATGTTAGTTTTGTATTGGAATGAGCATGATTGCTATAGTGTTAACTATAAAAAATTCTTATTGATGCAAGAAATTTAGGAGATAAAAGTTCTGCGTCATACGATGTATGTACGTATAACTGATAATAAAAAAATTAAATATGCGAAATATTGATCAATTTTATGCGATTTGATTGGATAAATGTCAGGTAACTATATACAAAATCAGAAATTTATACATAAAGGCTATCGGATATTAGAAATGGCAGGTTATCAGATATTACTTATAGAACAGGTATTGTAGATTGATTTTTAGCCAATTTTAGCAAGTTATCAGTTTTGACAGGATCGGTTCTGAGAAGGCCGACTGTAGTAGATCCCAAGATATTTGAAATTATAGATATGAATATACAGTAGTATTATAGACTATAATACTTTGTATAACCACTAATTTGTAGATCTTTATGTTTAAACACCATTAGAACTAGAAAAGTCTTCTTTACAACTTTACTTAGAAGCTTAAAAGAGGGTATCTTATTAAAAACTTCTTTAATTTTAAAAAAATATATATATTATATATAATTAATAAATAAATAATTGTTAGCCAATAAAAATTATTGAAGATTATGTAAGATTATACAACTATCACCATTATATACAAAAATTTTTAGTATATAGTATAGATATAGATATAGATATAGATATAGATATTAAATATTAATAAATACAGAGACTATTGAAATTAACTGACAATGCAGCTAATAATACAATTCACATTGTAAGCTTCATAGTTTGACCTACTAATTATAGCCTGAAATATTTCACTAGAAAAGCTTCAATACTATGTATCATATTAGAGTTACGTTTTTGCTATTAAGTTAAAGTTCTAAGGATATGATAATACCAACATTTCCAATAACCCAAATTTCCAAAAAAAAACTCTTTCTGCTGATCTATAAATTGCAACTTGATTTCAATCGGCTATAAACTAAATCATTATTTTTCTTAAAAACTAGTATAAGAAACAAGGTTACTTGTATTAGTAAAAAAGAAAGAG